TCAGCTTCCACGGCAGGTTGTGGCCCCGCCGGTGGAGCTGCAGGTTCTGGTCGCGCTGGAAGCCTTTATTGCAGATCTCACACACGAAACGGTTCGTTGCGAGGAGAGTCGTCGGCGACAGCGCGATCACCTCCGCTTCGGGATCTGAAAAATTAAAAATTAGCAAGAAAATACGCGTTGGCTCAGCTTATATAATTAGCTAAAATTTCAAAATTTAAAGACTAATCGAGAAACCACGTCGTCTACCTGGCATTCCGGGAAGGTTTCGCTTTTTCTTTTGCGGCGGCTCCGGATGAGTCATGGCTTCGTGAGCGGAGGACGTTAAACTGGCTTCGCCGCCGGTAGCCGTTGAAACCGTCAGTAACGGCGATGAGGAATTATCCAGCTCCCCCATGTTTGCTTCCGAATTTTTATATCTCTGAGCTCAAAGTCCTCTCAAACAAGCTAAAAAAAACAAGCTGCCTACTTAAGGTAACAGTTCTGATTGATTAAAATAAACAAAAACTTTCTGTTTGTTTCGAGGGGAAGTGAAAAATTTCCGGGAAAACCCGACAAAACTGCTCGAGCTAAATTAATGGACTTTTTGAACCGGAACGCGGAGTCAACTCAGTCATCTAGGTCGCAGACGGAGAGCCAAAGTCCCATTAGGCGGCGCGCCTCCGCAGCTGGCAATGGAAGAGAGGGGGAGAGAGAGAGAGAGAGAGTGCTTGTGAGATGCAGGTAGAGAGAGAAAGAGAGAGATTTGAACGCAGTGGAAAAATATTAAATTTATTGAAAAATGGGTTAAAGCGGCGGAAGTTAACCATGGTTAATAGTCGGAGGACATGGATTTAACCATGGTTATACCTGAACCCAATGAGTCCAAATTCTGATCCCGTGGCTGATGTGTAGATCTGGCCGTCCACGTGGGGCAATAAGCGGGAAGATGACATTTGTCGGAGGAAGTCGGACTAGGCAGTGCCTGCCTTATAGCGCTAGAGATCGAAAGTTCAAACTATTGTTCAATCAATACACTGGGAAGAGATCCTCATCTCATCAATCAATTAATTCGGATTCTTAAAATTTGATTTAACAATTAAAATTATTATAATTTTTAAAATAATTTCATACTTGTAATCATTAGATTAAATTTTAAAAATCAAAATTAATTAATTGATAGACTTTGATACGAGAGATTATCTCTCGGAAAGGATCTCTTTCCTTACCCAATTATGCTAAACTTGTCCTCATCCGGACATAAACTTTGCCAAATCCTATTTACGTTAAAAGACAGTTATACCCCTGCACAATCCACCGTTTCATAAATGGTATGACGGGTTTTCGAAACACCATGTTTTGAGTCAAACAGTAGTACTGTACCAACGGAGGTCAAATGTCACTGATACCCTCGTGAGTCGGGTGCTTGTACTGCACACCTTACGTGCACGTGCTCGAGCTCGAGTCTGCCACCAAAGTGAGTCCAAAGAGCTCAAATCCCGTAAGCCACAAGTCCATTGCAACCCATGGACCTCATGGTGTTCGGAGTTTAATAGCCGTTGTTAGGTCAGATCCAAAGTTTAAGATGGAGACGCGATGTATTGGATAATATAATGTTTGCCTACGTAGGCAAATACGTACCGTTCTGAGTTCTGTCATCCCAAAAATGGACAGCTAACGCAAAGGCCACCATCTTTTTCAAAATTCGGATCACGGCCGGAGGATTTTCGATGGAAATGAAAAGTTGTTGGGTGATGTTATAATTTTAAAACGTAAGGTTAAGTAATGGTTGAGCATGAGTTTTTAACTTTTAACTTGAAATAATTTATTGTTAATTTATAGAAGTTTATGCTTATCATTAGAATCGTTCATATTATAAGTTATTTTATAAAAATCATCTTTGAAAAAAATTAATTAAAACTAAATTCGTTTACTATCAAACTGTATAAAAAAAAAATGAACAAAATTGATAAATGCATCACAAACCGTCCAACGGGTTTTAGATATTTTATAAAATAGTATATTTGTATTCAGATTCGGATTCAGATACAGTGGACTGAGTTGTGCAGGCCGTGGACGGTCCACATCTCTCAGGGCCCACCGCCACAGGTGCTGAGGTGGACGGTTCAGATGCAATCTGCCAAACACTCGTTAGTGTATTGACAGGTACTTTTTATGCCATTGTTTTATCTCAGAGGGTCATAATTACTCAAATAATTGAAACGATGGACATAAATCTTGATAAAATAATAAATAATAATATTTTGTTTAAGCAAGTTGCACCCTGAACTCCACCTTAATCTGTGATTTTCCCCCAATAAACTATTTTTAATTACAAAATTGAAACCTTTTAGTTGATATTTTATGAATTTTACCCCACCTAAATATTAAATCCTCATAATTTATGTTGTGCCAATTTAGCAAGAAAACAGTGCAGTCACTGCTCCGGCTCTGGCTGGCTTGTTGCAAACTGAATGAGTCAAACGACTTCGTTTGCTTTGTTTGATCTTTGTATTATTTTATTTTTGTTTCGTTTGGTTCTTTTTGTTTCATAGTGTTTAGACGACTTTTGAGGTTTGACCCCAAAACAAGCCAAACCTCATGAATTGGACTTAAATTACACGTCTTGAAGTTTATCAACATTCCTTTTATTTCGTTGATAAACTTAAATGTTCCTTAAATTACACGTCTTGAAGTTTATCAACGTTCTATCGGTGTTATAGTGTATGTTCTCGCCCATATATTGTTAATTCTGTCAGTTATTCGATAATGTAAATAAATGATATTATCTACATTAAAGAAGTATGAAAGTTAGAAAAGCGTTACAATGGACGTGGTTCAAATTCGTCTTTAGTTGGTAATTGAATATAAAATTATTCACTTACAAATAAAGATGAATACTACTAAATCGTAGTACTAAGTGACATTAAAGTTTAACTTTCTCCATTTTGAATAGTCAATGCCTTTTAACTTTTTCTGGTAACTTAATTATTGAAATGAAATTGAAAGTGTTTATCTATTTGTGAACGTAACTTTTGTTAAAGTATATATCTTTTTTGTAATAATTGAATTTAAGACCTCTCATTTATAAATGAAGATAAATATCACTAAACCGTAATACTAAGTGGTATGAAAGTTTAACTTTCTCCATTTTGAATAGTCAATGCCCCTTAACTTTTTCTGGTAACTCAATTATTGAAATTGAAAGTGTCTACCTATTTGTGAACGTAACTTTTGTTAACATGTGCATAGCGCGAGATCACGTGGGGAGCATTAACACAAAAAATTGTTACGAAAATGACGGTCTGAGGCTGCTGGTGCGTATTAAAAATTCAAGAGGGTTGAAAACCAAATTAAAAGTTTGAAGCAGCATCAATAAAAAAATCGTATATTAAAATAAGAATATATTATATTTTCGAAAGTCCAACAAGACAAGTATACAAGTTGGATTGATGAAAGCTTACCAAATAAAGAAAAATATTAAACAATGTCATAATTTGAGATTGAGACGGATTAGTTTATGCTAAGATCATAATTAAGCATCCATTGGGGTCAAAATTTGGCATGATTATGTTCCAAGATAAACTTACTACTTATCCATGGAATATTGACTTGGCAAGAACATATTATGCTAAAAAGGGTAACTGTGGGAATATTCGGATAAGGTTTCATCCAATCAGAGACTGGCCACGTGGAATTTCACCATATAGTCTTTTACTTTGGGAAGGGAAGAGTGGTTGGATGAGAATTTTTTCACTTTGTTCATTGATTAATTGAGAACACAACGTCGGATGTGACTGAAAACACAGACTTTTTTCAAAAATCGAAATCATTTAGTGGCTCAAAAGCAAATAAAAGCAAGCAGAGAAAGTTGAAATTTAAACATGTTGAGTTATCTTGCTTGCTCGAAAGCATCATCTTTTGTTGACAAGTTATGAGATCATGGAAGACTAGCGTCTTTTATTGCAGATTCTTTAGATGTGATTTTAAAATGATTATAAGTCTATAGTTAGGCTATTTAGTTTGAAAATAGTTTGGTTGGTTTGCTTTTGATAGAAGCGCTTATGTTATAAATATATTGTTGTTTGAATTAAAAATTTTAGTGCTTTATAAAAAAACCGCTTAGAATGTACTTCTAAGTTTTTATGTTAACAAACTACTAGAACTGCATTTAACTAGCAGAAAACATTTTAGTCGTTCCATAACATTTTCAAACATGACCTAAGCAATTTTTAAATAATTAAAAGTGCTTCTGACAACACTAACAACAAAATTTGATAGGATTTATAAAAGAAGAAATTGTAGCAATGATTCTCAAACTTTTAACCAATTCAAGCTATAGCATATGAATTAAAAATCTGTGACTATTAATCTCTGAATTTTTCAAAACGCAAAGCAAAAGTCTTTTTTTTTTAACTCTGTTAAAACTTCAGTGCCAAGTGAGGTTGCATTATGTGAAAAAGAAAACAAATGGATGTACAGTCACAAGCCCAAAGTAATGATGACTAGTTTGATTATATCTTTCGGTAGCTTTTCTGATTCCAATATGATGCAAAAGGTCCATCTTCAATCTCGATTTTTTTTCGTTTACGTGACCCCCACTCCCTCCCTTTCTCTTTTTTGCCCTTTTGTTATAAGTGGCACTGTGGGCTCCGATACTGCTTTGGGGATGCGTACGAGTCAATGGCGTACTAATTTTTGAGGGATAAAGGGCCATGGGGAAAACGATTTTAATTGTTTTCCTGTTTCTGTGTTGTGCTAAATGCAGTGAACCAACGAGATGAGTGTTATCGACAGAAAGTAGGCCACTATTGTATGCATCGCCGGCTTTATTGGCAAATTAGGATGCGTCGGGATGATTCCATCGCAGTATTTCAAATCAATCATGCTATTCCACGAGGAGAAGTTGTGGCATTAGTGATTGCTTTTAGTTACCGCCGTAATGACATCTTAGTTTCTCTTAGTAAAGTAGTCGGAAGATGTTTCCTACCTATACCGTAAACTTTTTCAGACTGTTTCACATGTATACAGTAACTTTTAGTAATCTGACTCCGAAAAAAAGGTATACTAGTTGTCTGTACATTACTCCAAAAGATTATGAAAATATGGAAAATGCAATACCCGGGGGTAAACAAAAACATCTATCGTGATGTGCAGGCTCCGATCTCGCTGCAAACGATGTTCGTTTGCAAGTCTGGAAGTGCGTGATGAACATTAAGATTACATCCTGGTGCCGACTGTTTTTTCTCACGACCGGCATGCATTGTAGATCTCACCCCGCATTGCATCAATGGGCATGTGCTCGTGCGTGTAACGCTCAGGACCCAGGTACAAACCCGTCTTTTCAAGGAGAGCCAGTCCTTCCTCTCTACCGTATCTTGAAGAATAGAGTCTGAGGTACTCAATGTCCTGATGAAATAACCACACAAATTTCTAATCATCATGAAACAGGACTTGGAAGAAAGAAACAAAACACCATACACGACGTTTTCAGTTGCAACCGCCATGGAAACGCTTTAGTTTTAAGATTCAAAATTTTTGGAGCAAGAAAAGATTCAGGAAATAAAGTTCCGGATTTGTAAACATTTGTGTTTTGATTGTCAACAGAATGAATGTATACCCCTAAATGACTCGAGAATTGCTCAAAGAATAAATGAAACCAGACCGGGATAAACTGACTATAATATCGAAGTTTCACTTACCTGCAAGCCACTAAGAATGCGTTCAAGTCTGACCGAAGCAACTGGTTGACTTGATGATGAGAACACCTGGCCAGGGTAGAACAAAACTCCATCTCCAGGGGGAAGGCCACGCCTGAATCTTATCTGCTCAGTCACGTAATTTATTTCAGTAAAATGCAAGTAGCTTTTTATAATTGCTACTCCATCTCATAAATTGTCTAGATGCTAGGAAAGTACCTCTGCGCTTGGAACATTTGCCTTCTCATAGCAATTGGCACCCCAATATAAGAAACCTGTTCCACCTTCTTTCCATACACGCCACATTACAGCACGGTGTTGTGTACCTCGCATACCAAGGTGCCAATTGGGATGCGGGTCAGACGGTCCCATGCACACATAAGTCCACCATTCCTACAAACTCGACGAGCTCACATCCTTCAGCAAGCAACATCCAAGATGCAAAAAATTGTAAACAGGTATCCATACATAATTCTTACAAACTGTTTAATCCATAAAAGCAAAAGACCACAAACTATTCCTTCAATTTAACCAAACTCAACAAGAACAGATCCAGAATTTTAAGAAAGCTTCTCAAGGAAATTAGATAAGAGCCAGGCAAAATTTCTGTTACATCACCTCGCCATTTTCTGGTTGTATTTCGGAAACAATATCCTTGACCAAATCTTCTCGATTCCCAAGCACCCATTCACTACCAATTCAAACCAAATTATATTGTTCTCAGACATTGTCATTGACCAAAAACTAGCAACTAAAGTCAAATACCTGAATACTATCACTTCCACTTTTCTTTTACAGAAGGTTCTTAGAGGGCACTCACAGTACAAATGAATATCAATACCTTGTACAATAAATTTGAGTGTGTGGGCGCAGGAATTTTGGAACTTTCACAAAAGCCTCAAACGCAGTAGGTGCAAGAGGTGCATCGCTTGGCCCTACATGGTGGAAAAGAGCAATATATAGTAACATAAATTCGCAGGTAGAAGGAGCCAAATATAGATAAACTAATGAAGCACTCATCAGCAGAACCAAAATAAACAATCAGACACACACTACTAAAGATAAACTAATGAAGTACTCATTCAGCAGAACCAAAATAAACAATCAGAGACACACTACCACCTATGAAACTCTATGCAATAATTAAAATCATTTAGCTATAAGAAGAATATGAGTTCATACCACAGTAGTAAGTAGTTAAAACACGAGCATCAGGAGCATACGCATGGATCTCGTTGGCTATGCTGCGGAGGGACTCGTATTGCTCCAAATTCAGTGGCTGACATATATTATAAAGCAGGCACATTAACTTACAATAAATTAGTAATGCATTTTGCAAAAGGGAAAATGACAATGCATGAGTTATATCTAGTACTGCTACCTTTTACAAATATTTCTATACTGAAAAACTTAAGCGGAGTTTAAGGGAAATCATTTTTCGATTGTGTTCATACCTCATCCCACAAGTAAAAATAGGCTTTCTTCCAGTGAGACTTTGTCCTTAATATATCAATCTGTTTCTGCATGTAATCCTTCGTTGCATTACCACTGTGGCACATCAGCAAATGGGTAGAACCTCATCAGTTTTCATCACACATATACCTGAAAGAAGTGAACTTGGATGATGAGCTCTATACCCAGAGACAGATCGACTATATGGCAAAGCATAGGCTGCCAACCGTGGATCCGAAAAGTATTCATCTGATTTTGGATGATCAGCTGCAACAAATGAAATTCAGAAAAGCAAATAATGCATCTTTTTAGAAGGCATTTATTGAAGACAACAAAAAGAGAAAGTTTAATAAATCAGAGATAACAGCATAAGTAATTGATAATAGCAGAGTAGCTTATGGCTTGTCGTAAGTACCTGGCCAAGGGCAGGTATATGTCAAGACACGCATACTATCACCCCATCTGCAAAAGTATGGACTGATTTTGTATTGAAGAAGCCACTTAAAATGCTGATCCAGTGCCTCATACCACTCATCAGTCCCATGTTCAACACCAAAACGATCTTCAATTACAGTATCAGATATCTAAAATATAGTTTAAGGATGCAATGACATTGTAGGATCAAAAAACATGTGGTTGAACATACAACAGAACATTAATTTATAAAAAACTTTTGGTCTGTCATAAGAACAGGACATCTGCATCTTCACGCATGGGCATTATTTGCTGTAAGGAATTAATGATCCCCCTTCCAATTTTACACTTACTAATAAGTGTTTATGCTTCTCAGTTACTTGAATTAATATGTCAGAAGTTAAATACTATTTTTTTAATATAACACAGGATACGCCAAAAACGGCAGGGAGTGATGGGGTTACAGGAAGAATGAAGTCCCAAACTGTCATATTAATCTTCACACGTACTGAAAGGCTCGAAATAGCATCTTCCTCCATCATATCAACTGGCCCATTTAATGATAAGTATTCAGAAAATAGTGGCGAAAGAAGAACACTTCTTAAAGATGCTGTAGCAGATTTCACCCCTTCTACCTAAAAAAGCACATGCTCAAATCAACAGCTAATAACACACCAAACTAAACAGAAATAATACAATTGTGTACAAAGTTTAATTTGTAAACCAACCACTTCATCCACCGGTTTCCCATCAATGGGGTCCAACATTTCAAGACAACTTTGAAGATCCCTATAAAGTTGATGCTTCTCGGCTTTGCCCAAGCAATGTGCTGGAACCCTGTACCAAGTCAGAATCAATAAACGTGGAGAATATATTTCAATGTATAAGGAAAGGAATACCCATATTGCTAAAAGAATAGAGAGCTAAACTTTTACAACTTATTGACTAAAAATAATTGTGAACAGACTCACTCCGAATCTGCCTTTGTAGCAGTAATGATGATCTCCCCCTCATACTGTCCTGGGGGTTGTGCACTAGGAACATCAATGGAAACCCAAACTGCAGTTGTTTCTCTGGAGGCACCAGCATGGGGAGGAGAGGGAAGGAGAAAGAAGATTGTGTCAGTCTCTTGCAATAACTGTCTTATAGAATTATGTCGCACCAAATTAAGACTATCATATTACTAATGTGATCAGTACCCTGGTAATAGGCTTATTTGACTAACTGGAAGATCAAGAGGTGCAAGAGCATCTGGGACACCCAATATGGGAACCACACGCCGCATGTTTATTGATTGTCCAACTACCAACCTGCCCACAGTAAATATCAGAAAGTAAGGAAATGGAAGAGTAATTGTAAGCCTACAGCAAGAAAAATATGACTTCAAAGAACTAACCGATCACCAGATGTGGAGCATAAGTCACTACACTGGACCTGCACAACCCCTGCATTTCCAGGACCACCCCATGAAACTTTTGGACGCATTGCAATTTGAATACTTTCTTTTTCATTTCTACCAGCCAGAAGATTAACCTTCAAGTAAACCCAACTTAGAATCCAGAAGAGTACAGTACCTCTAGAGCAGAAGATCGGATGCTTCATCCTATTCTATTAAGTAAAAAGGTCACGAATATAATGTTTCACAATATATGATAGCTCCTACATATTCTAATAGAAATTAAATGGAAGAAAAGAAAAAAACAATAGCCTCCAACAGGAAGGTAAGTATCTATTGAAATGCAAATTATTAAAAAATAAAAATAAAATTGCATAACTCATTCTCAGACATGTTAAGGATTGAAAACCAAATTACATTAGGTGTGGCAAGAGTCGCAAGACGGCACCTAAGCTGCTTGCCTTCCATTTTCAATAAATCTTGTGGAATTCGTAGTTTTCAGAAGCTAGTTAACATGACACCATTTAAATCAAGGAACTATACGTACCGACTCCAAATTCCTTGGCATTTCTTGTGGTCCAACATTTGCTGTGCTTGGCATGCACCACACATGCACTAAATCAGCAGTCGGAAACTCTGTAGGGTCGATTGATCCTTTGAGTGGACTTGGAACTTGTAAGCCACCATCAGTCCATCCATATGCCGTCCCTCCTCCAGCAACACCTTCAACTGGTGGCACAACGATGTCTTGAGGATTCCCTGGTAAGTTGTATCCACAACAAAATCAGCTCATATGAATCTCTAGATTCAAAATTATTTACCAAATTTCAAGGCAAATCCAACTAAAAGGCACTTTAATTGGTTTATGGTCGAAACGCTTTGCAACAATTAAAAAAGTGAATTATATTTCCGAAATCCAATCAGAAAAGCCAATTCATAAACTCTACATCAGAAAATTCGAAGTTCCGAACAGCTTTTCAAGTAAATAACCTTAGTCGATCATCAAAGCTAAAATACAAACAGTTGCGCGATTACAAGCAACATGTTCAGTTTCGCTGAGATTGCAGTGAAAAAAGCAAATATTTATAACGTCATTTGCATATCGGACTGTAACCGTGAAGACTTCAATTTTAATTTCTCATATTTTCTCACTTACTCCTCTATTTTTCTCAGGAACTCAAACAGTGCATACAGGAATCAAGAAAAGAAGCAATTTTCCGAGAAAATGGTAGAAATTGAACACCGGCGACTCAAACAAACATTAAACTAGCGCCTGAAAAACGAAGAGAGAAAGGTGAAAATTGGCCGGGACTAACCTGAGTCATCCATTTCCGGCAATTACAATTTGCAGAAGAAGATCGGCGGTATCTTCTTCTTCCTCCGAGCTCGGTATTTGCTTTTCAGGTGAAGAAATCGAACTGTCGCCTGAGGACTGAAAGAAATGATCACCCGCTCCGTCTTCTCTCGTTGCGAATTAAAAGAACGCAAATGGATCATGTAATAAGTGCTTGGCAGATTTAGGGGTGTGGTCGATTTAGATTTAAAAGGATTTTAATAGGCTCTTTTTATGTGACAGATTTTAAATAATTTTAATGGGCTTTTTGTATGAATTTATTTCATGGATTTCTTAGTTGAATCTTATAATATAAAATGGATCCTTAGATTTATTATGTGTTTCTCTTTCTCATTTGAATTGTAATTTTTTAAAAGAAAATTAACTAACCAAAACAAGGATAGATGATTTCAATTACATATCTTATAGTCAAAAGCTAATACAATTACATAAAACACACATAAATCAAAATTTAAGAAGATGATAGATGGTTTCAAGATAAACAAGATAATAATGTTGCTTTAACATGCATATTGCTCCCTCGGCCTTCATACGGTGCTCCTAAAAATCAGAACACTAGCATTATTGATCACTCATTATCCTCCATTCACATTGTTATAATTATGGGCATATTTCCATATGTCCAAATCTATGTTATATCTCCATTCATTAGCAATATTCCGTTTTTGTTCTTGTGTTTGAAAATCTTGGTCAAGATCCCCTTCCAAAACTGACAACGGTTGAGACGAAGAAAATTCATCATCTGGTTCAACATGAAATTAGTCCACTTCCATTTCTTCCTCATCTCCTTCCGCTTCCATGCTTGATGGAGACATTATATATAAACTAACCAACCAAATAAACAAAATCATAAAGAAGTTTGTACTTCTAGCAGACGAACAAGAACAGGAAATAATATAGAGTGAACACGAAATGAAGCCAAAATCAAGTGAAAGTAGAGCAAGTACAGAGAAAGCTTGAATCTTAATAAAATTCAAATAGCAGAAAGTTTACTTCGCTGTCTAAGGTTCACACATTCAGTTAATGAATAAGCAGGTAGTACTTGGAGCTCAACATGATCACATAAAGTTTCACAAATATAAGTTTCAATTTTGCATTTAAAACAAGAAAGGGGGAAGATGAAACAATAGCGGTTTGCCTGCTCCAAATTTCAGATTGGAAACCTATGTTGAAGAATATCAACCATAACCACTGAGATGCCACAACTAAATAAGTAATTATACAGTTACAATGAAAACAAAACGCAAGACTGAGTTCAAATACGCATTGTGCTTACGTGCTAAGAACAACTATTTATAAACACCATGAAAATAATAAAGAGTCCTTGTACAAATTCAGAAAAGAAAAACAATACCTTGAGGAATGGAGAAAGACTGTTCTTCCTCTGTCTGAGAGAGGAAGATTGTTCCTCTTCTATATGATGAACGTGAAAAGGAATCAAAGGGGTTAGTGTTGGATTCTTGATGACATAATAGTATTTATACCTCCCACCCTCAAATCCATCCAAATCCATCATTCATTAAAATCCCAATAAATATTTGGTATTCTCACTACACCTATGATTTGGTGGATTTTTTTTTAAAACGTAATTGACTTCCCATAGATTTGGACGTATTATTTAAAATCCTAATTTGACTACCCTATGATTTTGAACTCCTTTAAAATCCTCTTTTAAAATACTGATTGACTATATTTGGATTTTAAAGTCTATTAAAATCTTACCAAATCCTAATTGGATCCGCTCCGGACCTTAGTGTCCGGAGCTTAAGGATCAATTCATTTGGACAGCACAAATTGAATCCAATGATTCCTATTAACTTATTTTCCTGACCCACCACATAAAACCAATGGTTTTGATTTCTTTTACACACCAATCAACGGCCCAGATGATTTGATCCTTAAACTCCAGACATTGTGTCTAAAGCAAATCCAATTCCATTACTAAACAGTGAGAACTGGGAAACAATATTATGATTATGTTTCGCCACAGCATCTGTCAAGAAATTCGCTTCTCTAAAAATATAACTAACCTAATTGGTATGACTCATCAATATCATTCTACTATTTTATAAGGGTATTTTGATATAGGCGTCTCGTTTTTTAATTTTTTAGACTAAACATACACTTCCCTTGAAAATTTGATCACACATTTTCTAAAATTTTGGTTATTAATTTCAGTTTTTATATAAGTTCAATTTTGTTTAGAATTTTTAGTTTTTCATGACTTTTCCTAGACATTTCGTTTTTTTCTCTTTCTTTTCCTCTTATCCCTATATTTATGCATTTATTATCCATCCCTATGCATTTTTTTATTGTTTGTTATAATTTTACTTTTTTTTTTGTGAATATAGTAGAATATTTATAAAAAAATTGTCAGATTTTATTATTTAGAATACCCAACACATAATAAAAATTTGTTTGATTATATAGCTACGTCTAGTTACCTATAATATGGACACATTTAGTTTTATAGTGGATTTGATTTTTTGTATTTCTCGGTACATTTGGAATGTAAATATACCAAAAGAGTTATCCAATAGATACATTTGGTTTTGTGGTATGTTTGTGATTTTTTGTTCATTTGGTCTTTTGGTACATTTGGAATCTAAATGTACCAAAAGGGTTATCTGACAATGGACACATTTGGTTTTATGGTACATTTGAAATTTTGATATATTTGGTTTCTCTGTAAATTTGAAATCTAAACGTACCAAAAAGGTTACATAACAATGGGTATATTTGGTTTTATGGTACATTTGATCTTTTGGTACATTTGAAATTTAAACGTACCAAAAGTCAATACTTTTGTTCTCAAATGTAACATAAGTTTTAGTATAGTTTTTATATATCTATACATGAAAAACTATGTATTGAAGACTTTTTATTGAGACATTTTTAATAGAAAGAGAATTTTTTTTTAATACGATAATAAGGTAATGAGGAATTAGTTAATTATTTTTTTTTATTTTATTAAAAAAATGTCATTTAATGCGTAGAAGGGGATTAACGAAATTAAATTTCTATATTATTGACAATTAGTTGCTAAGCTCTTTTATGCCTTTATATAAATGCATTTAAATTAATGAAATGAAAATTAAATAAATAGAAAATTATTGAAGTGACAATTGATCAAAGCATTTAATCAAATATTTAAAAGGAATGAATATTTAACCTAACAATTATAGAAAATATGTAGACCATTCTCATTTTCTCTATTTTATATAGCTAACCTAAATAAGATGTAAACCGACTAAAAAGACGATAATTCCTTGTTTATGTAGAGAGACAAAATTACCCTTCTTATTCCACCACGTGTCATTCCCTGATTAGCTATAAATCACGCAACGCTACACCTGGATGCAAGTAGCCCAACCACTGCTCCTTGTTCTAAGCGCCCGCCCTCACTGGAAAAAACTTGCCGTCCGTAGAGGTTACGAAACCACAACGCCACCGTAGCCTGGGTTTAGGGTTTGCGTGACAAACCACACCACCCACCGTTAAGCGACGTCGTTCAGGCTGCCATGGAGAGTGCCTTCGCGAGCGCCTCTGCGATCTCCGACCAGCGGCAGAAGATCGAGCAGTACAAGCACATTCTGTCCACCGTGATTTCTTCAAGCGACGTCGTTCAGGCCAAGAAGTTCATCGATCACTGTAAGTATTTCCTCAGCGCTCTTTCTCTCAATTTTTGCAATTATATTATTTATTTTGGTTTAGCAGCTTTGTTTGGAGGCCTAATTTTGTAATTTTCTACGCCTTCAGTGTTGTCGGATGATGTTCCGTTGGTGGTTTCCCGGCAGCTTTTGCAGACTTTTGCCCAGGAGTTGGGGCGGTGGGAGCCGGAGACCCAGAAGGAGATTGCCCACTATGCCCTTTCTCAGATTCGTGTCGTTTCATTCGAAGAACAGGTTCTTTTCGGACTTTTGTATATCGGGAATTCCCCGTTTTGCATTTGTTTTGTTCAATTTTCTAAGATTTAGATTAGCATTGCCCGCATTGTCGTGAAACATGCGGAAGTTACTTGATTTTTTATAGCACATTTAGAAAATAGTTTTGATTGTGTACATCTTTTATTTGGGATTATTGTGATTTAGACAGTACGGTATGGTTTTGTGTGATGCAGGTGATGATAATAAGAGAGAAACTTGCGGAATTGTACGAGTCTGAGCAACAATGGTCAAAAGCAGCTCAGATGCTCAGTGGAATTAATCTCGACTCAGGAACAAGGTCCGATAGTAGGATACTGCTGTTGTTAGTGTAACTTTTCCTTTTTTTGGCATGACCAGTTATGGAATTAACAATGTTTATGTTTTCATGGTATTCCCTTAGAGCCGTTGATGACACATTCAAGTTATCAAAATGTGTCCAAATTGCTCGCCTATATCTCGAGGTATTGACCTTTTTTTTTCTTTTCTTTTTTTCCAAAGGGTGCCTATTTTTCATTTGATACAATTGATGAGATTTGGAATGGTGTTTAATGCTGTTGTTTTGTTGGTGCTGCAACTCCTTTATTACAAAAATACGAGCTGGACTATGAATGTCTGCATATAGAAGACCCATGATGGATGATTTGCGTTGGAATTGATGTGCTGCCTATATCTGTTTGTTGTATCTAGATATGTTGTAGATAGCCATAGTGTGACCTCTGCAAGTGTTTACTGGAACAAATATCTTCTTTTCGTGTCAGTTTTGGAACAAATAAGACTTTTATTGACAAGTTGTTGACATGAAACCTTACCAAGTTTTTGTATGTTTGTTTTGCAGGACGATGATGCCGTGAATGCAGAAGCTTTTATTCATAAAGCTTCATTCTTGATTACAACTATTCAGCATGAAGTTTTGACTTTAGAGTACAAGGTTTGACATTATTGGATAGTCAGTGAAAATAATTGCATTAAGTTTGCATGCCAAAAGCATTTTTTAATTTCTTTTCCCCTTTGTTTCCTTCCTATTAGATTTGTTATGCAAGGATTTTAGATTTAAAGAGAAGGTTCTTGGAAGCAGCATTACGTTATTATGATTTTTCTCAGATTGAAAAGAGGCAAATAGGAGATCAGTATGTCAAGTTTAACTTTTTCCATTCTTGTTATTTGTACCACTTGAAAGACGGGTGATATGAATGTATGCATTTTGTTGCAGAGAGATTGATGAGGAAGCACTGGAGCAAGCTCTATCTGCTGCAGTTACATGTACAATTTTAGCCGCAGCAGGACCCCAACGTTCTCGTGTTCTTGCTACTTTGTACAAGGTTAACTTCTTTACCTGGAGATGTATATTATGTGTTCTTTATTTTAAATTTGCTGATACCTTGGGGTTTTCATTCAGGATGAGCGATGCTCAAAGTTAAAAATATATCCAATACTACAAAAGGTGCTCTCTCTCTCTCTCTCTCTCTCCCTCTCACACACACACACACACACACAAAAGGTTTTCGTCTGTATACCTTTTTCTCTCCTGACTGTATGTTACACTTTTATTGTTTTGCTTCAATGGATATTTATTAGGTATATTTGGAGAGAATTTTGAGGAAACCAGAAATTGAGGCATTTGCTGAAGAGTTAAAGCCCCATCAGGTTATAAACTTTCTTCTCCTTTATCTATGATATCGTATCTGCACATGAGCCATAACAGTTATGTCTTATTTTTTCAACAGAAAGCACTTCTTCCAGACAACTTTACAGTGTTAGATCGTGCAATGATTGAACATAATCTTCTGAGTGCCAGCAAACTTTACACCAATATAAGGTAGGAGATATGTTGCTATTGATTTTTCCTTTTTTGAATTATGTGGGACCATTTATTCTAACTATCATGAATTCTGTGGCAGTTTTGAAGAATTGGGCACTTTGCTGGGAATTGAGCCTCATAAGGTACAGTTTTCTTTTGTTGAGCCATTCATGTCAAACCGCATCCTTCTCTTTCCTTTTTTACTCCCTGGACATGGGGATGTAAAAAAGGGGATCCTATCAACTTGTTCCAACCTAGGATAATAAGCTCATGAGCTTAGTCTTACGTCAACGTCAAGAAACGAAAGAAGACTCCCATCTCCTGACATGGATTTAGTTTATTTCTTACAGGCTGAGAAGATTGCATCAAAAATGATATATGAGGACAGAATGAGGGGATCTATTGATCAGGTATGAATTACAACTTATCAGTATCCAACCAAAAGGACCTTAAGTCGTTTTCAAAAGAAAAAAAATGTACTTTTAAGTAGTCAGACCTCTTTAGTTGTGAGAGCCACTGCAGTTTCTTTCTATGGAATATAGTTAAATAGTCTTTTAATCCACTGTATGGCCCTTAGTTTCATTTTGTCTTTATGAACGCGGCTTCCACTACGAAAAACTTGGAATTCCAAAGTTTTATGTTAGGGGAGGGGGTAGATGGTTGTAGTTTAAAATGCTTCGCATCTACTACCCTCCTCTTTTACTGGAACAAGATTCAGAATAGTTCGTTTGCTTTTGTAATCCATTCTAAATGTGTTGCTTTTGGTAACATTCTTTATTCTACCTTGTACCTCTCAAGCATTTGCCATGATGTTTCACAACAGGTGGAAGCTGTCATACATTTTCAGGATGACTCTGAAGAGCTGCAACAGTGGGATCAGCAGGTAAATTTGTCTGCCTTAATTAGCATTATATACTCACTGGAATTTGTTCGATTTCAAAATTTGCTTTACGAACATAAGTTGTATCCAAATATGGCCTTGTTTACACTCAGTTTGCAACCTAGAACTGTATCTCTCTCTCTCTCTCTTTTCCTCTCATATTTTGGTGATCCAACTCTTAGGTATTATATTATCCTTTGGTTGCAGATTGTTGGCCTGTGTCAGGCTCTCAATGAGGTCTTGGATGGCATGGCAAAGAAGGGCATGGCAATTCCCGTCTGATCTTCGCTAGCAAACCTCCAGAAATTGGAAAGTGAATTTGCTTTCACCCCTATACATTTTGTTAGCCGTCGCCTTGCATATTGTAGTGAACTTGAATTTCAAATCCTGTTACCATGGACCGAAGATCTCCCCCGGAAATGATTTTTGCGTATAATTTGGTTGTGGTCGGAAATCGTAGGATCTCTTTTTTGCATCACCTGTGGGAGGGTTTGGAGTAGCTATACTTTAGTATCTTGGTGCCAGCAACCAAGTTGAACCCATTTCTTACTTCTTCCGACCTCCAATCGAACTACATTTGAATACGAGGAACATCTGTTGCTTTTGCCCCAAGACAACATTTATTTGAATTTTGATGCGATGTTGAATTTGAATGGTATTTAGCGCAACACAAAATCTCATGCTTGGGGCACCGGGGTTGCAATTAATCATAAATGTCCGACTACTTCGTAACACTTGGGCGGTTTCGCCGGGCTTCTGATGAATATATATGAGGCCCTAAGGCGGTCATAGTGATGCTTTCGGCTACTGGACTCTTGCCATCTGGGTATCAACACTCACACTGCTTTCGGAAATTGATTATAATTACACGTGAATTGCTCTCCTGCAACCTCGTTTTCATGGTTTAAGCATGGTACTATAATCAATTTCCGTGTAATTATCAACAGAAATTTATAAGTAAAAAATAATGAAGAATCAATTCATCTACTCCAACCAAAACAAGAAACAAGATATTGTTGATCATAAATATATATTCCTTTCTATAGTTTTATTGTTTTATTCAAAAGTTGAAGTCGCGTTACAAAATACAACGTAGTGGGAAGTTCAAATGGCCCTGACTTGCCAAATGAATTGGTCTAACAACTAAATCTTAAACCAACTTCTCAAGTAACAAAATACAAGTTGATGAAATTTGATCACACGGGTCAGCTGCTATCATCCTTCGCTTGGTTGTTTACAAACAAATTCTCCCTCCGTTTCGGAAAACCCGAAGATTCTAACCCCGAACCTCTAAACTTTAGCTCTGAAGCTGTTCTAAAATTAGGATCGACAGATGATGGTCTAGGGTTATGATCCGCCGTACCTGGCCTGTATGAACTGGTTGCTCCGCCTGCATACCGGGGAGGAGGAGACACATACCTCCTCGACGGTCCTCTTAGGCCACCACCTCTCGAAGACCCTTCCCCAAACGACCTGTCTCCGGTGTTACTTCCCCCCAATGGAGCTCCCATTGTAGCAGATGTTGATGTAAAAGGATCATCCGGTCCCCATGAAGTGAGCGCTTCCTTTTTCTTCGCGAAAAATTGCCACGCTCCGAATAGGAAAAGTACAAAGAAAAATACAGGGCTGGTCCATAGCATTGTGTTAAATTCGTTTTTGAATACCGGAAGGTTAGAACGATACATTCCAACATACCCTCCGCCAAGGCCAAGCACAACAAGCCTTTCCCTGTCACTTGCGATTAAAGGTATCACATTTCTCTTCTCTGCGTCCACCGTCTGATGATTGAGAAACGATGACCTAATCTCATCAAGACCAGCGGAGAAAATAATCCGAGGCGCACCAACCCTAACGTAATGCTGAGTCGAAACATTGTACACGAAAACCTTCTCCCCGCCAACAATAAGCAAACACCCCTTAATTGCCTGAAAAGCGAGAGGCTCATCAATCTCAAACTTCCTCTTGGACCTAACCCTGCATTTGAAGTTCATTATATCCCCCAACAACAAAACATGAATCAGATCGCCTTCGGATGTAAACCCGTATGCCTTGGACCGCTCCGTGGCATCAAAAACATAGTACCGAGAATGCGAACGGTTCAACCCTTCACACTCACTCTCCCGAACTTTCATGGTCTTCAGGTCCAAAGACCCTGCACCCGTCTCCGTCAAGAACAAAAGCCGCTGCCTCAAGAAAGCAAGCGGCCTGCTCGACGGCATTGTGGAGCCGTGAACCGAACCATCCTCTCGGTAAACCGAAATCTTCCCACTCACATCACTAGCCAACACATAACTCAACCTCCCAACATGGTGCACTTCCAAAATCGTAACCGGCAACCCTTCTCCGCCCGTGTTGAATTTCGTCACGGTTTCCATTAAAAGCGAGCTCCAATCTTCCCCACTCGCTCCCTCCCAAACCCTATGCATCAAAATGACACCGTTTTGATGCCCAGTGACCACGAAACTCTCATTCTTGTAAACCGACAAGAAGGAAGCCATGGCCATGATCGGAGACCCCAGCAACGTATCAAACTCCACCAAAACGTCGCCGTTTCTAACAAACACATAAACCCTCCCTCTCTCGTCTCCGACGGCAACATATTTTGTTACCCCCTCGAAATCCCGAAACGGCAGGACGTGAATACACGTGGCCTGGGAATCCAATTTCACCGCGGAAACGAACTGAAACCGGTCGGACCAGAACGGGCTGTATTTTGTTACCGAAACTGGCCTCGCCCTTTCTCCAATTTGACGATCGGAACCAGACCCCTCTTCTTCTTCAACCTGCTTGATCAGCTTCTGGCTTTCCTTTTCGTCAACCGCCAAAGTCAAACCCTCGTCAATCGGAGCAGGTTTTTTCGGATGATTCGATTGTAATTTGAATTCTAATCTCGCGACTATTTCGGTTAGGTTCTTCACTACTTCCTCGAGCCTCTGCAATACCAGCTGTTGCGGATTGAGCTCGATTTCGGATTTAGTTTCGGTTTCGGTTTCGGTAGATTGGACGAAAAGCTTAGAAACAGGGGATGGAGATGACAAAATGAAGAGGAAGCAGAGCAGAAGGAGCTTGCCTTTGAGGGAGTTCATCGCCGCCGCCGCCACTGGAGCCCCACACAATCTATTCAGCTGAGCTCGGAGACTTTTTTGCTTTCGCTCGCTACTGTTTCAGTTTCGCCATTGCAGCGGGCGGGAGTCTGGGATCTGCGGGTTTGGATCTGCGATTCGGAGGGCTTTGGACTCGAGATTTTGAGGAATATGGCTGTGGCGGTGCGGCCGTGTGGGGTGGGTCAGTTAGAGAGACCTGTGAGCTTTTGACTTGGGTCTTAGATTTTCAGACTAGATTTTGGAATTTTGGAATTTTAGGGCAACAATTTTAGATTTTCGGGATAATTATTATGTAATAAAAGGTCATGGTTCGATGCGACATACTTATCTGCATCGCATGTGATATCGACTGACTAACCTCTAAAGACGTGACACGTATATGTTTCCTACTGCGCTCCGTTTGGGTCAACCAAAATGGTTGATTTAGCCTCTCCCCTCCTCCTCGTACTGGATTAAGATGTCATGATAGCTAAAACACCTTCTTTTTTGGAAAGCGATCCTCTTCATATCCCTTTCCACTTAATCCATTTAGTCCAGGATCCTAGTCGTTGAAATTTGATTCAATAACTACAATTATTATCACTTTTAAAGGAGCCTCTGTTTATAACCGTTTGATCAAATTTCAACGATTCTGATCCCAAACTAGGTGGATTAAATGAAAAGAGATCCGAAAATGATTTATTTCCTTCTGTTTTTTGCCATCTTTAGTTTATGCAGTACTTCCTTAAGAATAATACTTGCATTATCTCAGTAGAGGATGAATTCATACACCCAATTTCAAATAACATATTTTTAATGCAGAAATTTCATAATGGGAAGTTTAATATCTTAATTTTTATTTGAAAATCATTCTTACAAAAAATAATTCGAAACAGTAACAATTTAGTCATCTGAATGTATTAAATAAATTAAATAGCATATTTATAACGAACAGTTAATTTATTTACATTTGAATGACTAAAAATCACTAATTAAATGATTTTTATAAAAATAATCTTCAAATAAAGATTAAGAGATTTGAGCGATTGAGCAATTCTAATTATATAATGTTCCACAAATCTCTTATGCATACATTAGGTTCTTCTGTATACTTGTCCGTTCGCCCGCATCGATTTCCTCCCGTTTTCGAACGAAGCTAAGACGGATTCGATTTGGTCAACCGTAATCCCCCTAGTGCATCGCTTTGATGGCAAGGAAGGCTGCCTTAATATCGTGAGTAACGAAGATCCAGCTGGTGCGGGGACAGCTAATGCGTCCGCCCACGCACCAGCTCCAGCCGATCTATCTTTCTGTGCATCGGCTTCAGCCAATGTCTCTGTATTCGCAACAGCTTCAGTTGATACCGCATCAGGTGACAATGTCTGAGTACCAAACTTTGCTTTGGACTTGCTAAGCTTGGCTGCAGTAGTCTTTTTCGGTAGAATCTCCCTCTGTACCTGCATTTCATTCCATAACCAGTCGACATTCAGTGTTTGGTAAGAAAAAGTGATGGTTTGGCATAACAAGTTATTCCTATTTCCCTTTTAGAGTTGATATCTTTCGAATTCCTGACCAGCAGAAGAAAACCAATTGCTAAAAATACCTAGTGCAACTTTTGAAATAACCATACGATAAGATCTAAATGCACTACCATGTCTGAAGAATCCTCTGACATTGAGCTCCTACTATTGCTGTCACCTTGTACTAAGATAAAAGAACGAACTGTGCTCAGTCCATGCTTATTGGATGAGGGCAGAGAATGACTTGGCCCCCGACCTAAGAAGGACGACTGCAAAATTTACCAATAACAGTTATGATCAAATGGCATCTTACAAAAACTTGGCCCAAAGACCAGATGTTGCATCTACTTCTATATCAAGTTACCTTTGATGATATGCTCCTGTCTCCTCCCGCGAGAAGCATATTAGGGAAGGCTGCAAAATTAACAATATGTCAAATGACGATAGAGTTAAAAACAAAATGATATCAACATTCTACACGGAAGAAATTTACACAACCGTATAATACATGACAAATAACAGATCTTACAAGGGACTTTGGCCTTCTTAGTATCAGGCGCAATATTCAGTTTCTTTATATGACCAAAAACTTCTCTTGAACTTTCATCCTCTGCCGGTGACAAGAAAGTAGCCTGCATTTCCTGTTCCAAATCAAAATGTTCCAAATCAAAATGTTCTTGTAAGGTTAAAAGAATCTGTACAGAAAAAATGACATAACATGCAGTTGAAGAACATTAGCACGGATAATTGATTTAAACAGTGAATTAATTTCCACCATCATATGGTATAGTGGAAGAACTCACAGCTTTCTCAGACAGGCACTGTTTAGATAGTCTCTTTTCTGTTTCATCATCATCAGATGACAGGTATACATCATCGTTATCAGTATACAGTAGAGGCATCATTTGCTTCAGCTCTCGTAAGTTCATTCGCACAGCATTTGCGGGTGCTGAATCATCTGCATCTTCATTACCAAACTCTTCATCTTCTGCATTTTCTTCACCAAACTCTTCATCTTCCTGTACATCTGCATCTTTCTCTTTGACTAACTCTGTTTCTTTTTGTTTAGAACCAAACTTCAGCTTCTGCATAAGTTTTTCTGTTCCAGAAGCATCCTGTTGCTCGAGCCACTTTTGATGGAGTTCATTCCGTCTTTCGTTATCAACTGGTCTTTCTTCATATCCAGTTGCTATCATATCATTAAGCTCCGCAGCATCTCCATCATCCTCATCGTCGTCACTATCTTCGAACCGATGCAGGTCATGATCACTGTCGTCTTCTTCCTCGGCTTCATCATCCACAAAAGCTTTGACAGGATCACCGATTGGAGATGAAGGCACGTCAGCCACTTCAGAAGAATGAGGAGCAATATTTTCTTTGTCATTGTAGTCCTCCTCGTCAGAAGAACTACAAAGAGAGAAGTGTCATTTGTCCATTTCACCAGAAAAACTTAAAAAACAAACAGTATCCAACTTAATTAACTTTAGGAAACATTTGAATGCAACAATGACACGTACTAAGCTTCAAATTTACAAGATATGAAGACATAAACAAATAACACTTACACATCATCGGGAGGAGCAGAGTCAAGTTTTAAGTTCATTGCAAGTACGGATGGTGCAAAAACCTCTTCCAGCGGACTTTTGGAATCATCATTTGGCAGACCATCCTTATCGCTGGTAGTCTGGTTATCAGAAAACAGGTCCTACAACAATGGACAAGATGAAACAGTTATGCTTAAATACACAATCCTATCGAAGAATGATAAATCTAGTGAAATGTGAAAGGAACCTGAGTATAATCAATAGGTGCTCGAAATGTTTGCTTGGGCTCCTCGTCAACATCCTGCAGTTCAACAAATACAATTAGATACTGGATCTCAAGTCTCTCAATTTAATGCAAAAGACTATCTTCCCCAACATAATAAAGATCATCAATAGGATGAAGGTTTGACAGAAATAATATTTTAAGAATACATGGTATAACATAAGAAGGATTGAAATGATAACCATATTGTTCTTGGATTACCACTTAAAACCCCTCTTTTTTTCACTTTGAACTCTTTCCAAATCACTCAAAATTTTGTTTGCGTTATTAGTATATAAAGTATTTCATTGGTCAAGAAACTCAAATCCATGGATGCATATATCCCTGTCCCACTATTTGTGGTTAAGAAGGAACACTCAGTCAATGAACTTTTATTTTGGCAAAAACAAAATTGATAAAGAAACTCGAATTCAATTTACCATCCCGGAAGACACATTTCCACAGCTTGAATGCTCCTCCTTATCATTAGACCCATCAATGCACACCTCATTTGCACTATTCCCCTTTCCAGCCTGGGATGCAATTGACTCCTCAGTTGCCACTTTCAGTACCTTATAATCTCCTGTACTACTACATCTGCAACACTCAAAAGACCAACAAAGAATTACTACAACTATTAATTAATTGAATAAACACTAAGAGCCAAAGAATAAGATCATATCTACGGTTCTAAATAGAATACCGACTTTTGTGAAACCTCCAGTTTCCTTTTCCGAATTTTCTCCAGAACTGAAGATATCGGCTTCTGAACAAGTGGTATGGGTTTAAATGCTGCATCTCTGGTTTCTAACACAGAAGAAGATGATAACGAATAAGACACAATCAAAAGTAATACATTGTAAATGAACTATATAATTAGCATCACTTTGTTTATACCTCGCAAAAGTCTCTGAGATTCAGCATGCAGTTGCTTCAGATGCTCTCGTCTTTCCTACAAAATCATAACAATTCAGGCCTAAGCAAAACAGTACAAACTAATTTCAACCAATTTTACGGAATACAACACGAAAAATCTTAATACTTTTTCAGTCGTCCTTATGCCCTCGGCAGCCCCGGTTTTGCTCTTGGCCCTCTTTTTCTTCTTCTTGTTCTCCTCTTCCTCAAAGCCATCAGAACCACGCCGTTTCTTGTCCGTCTCTTCTACCCTCACACCCCCACTTTCTTTCGGCATCTCCTTGTTTAGATCTTCGCCTTCTTCGCCAAATTCCTCTCCCGCAGAATCAAAATCCAAAACCCTCTTAGCTCCGTTGCCATCTTCGCCGCCACCCAAACCATCAAAACTCGAATTCATTTCACCTTCACCGCCCAAACAATCAAAACCGGAATCGATTTCCCCTCCACCGCCCAACCCGTCGGAACCAGAACTCATTTCAACTTCACCACCGCCCAAGCCGTCAAATCCGGAATTAGAATCCCCTTCACCGCCCAAACCTTCCGATCCCAATCCTAACCTTGGCGGATCATTCGATTCCTCCAAGCTTAGAGCTTCGAATTCGGAGGGATTCACTCGGCCGCTCTCCGATTCGTCGACGGGAGGTTCTTCGGAAACCCTAATTGCTTTCTTTAAGCGCTTCAGCTTCGTTTCTCGGACTGGCGGAGCAGCCTCCGCTGACAGCAGCTCGAAATCGTCGTCGCTGTCCATCTCCGCAGTGGATTTCTCGGCGTAACGGAAGAAAAATCAAATTAGGGTTTAGGTTCTATAAGGCAATGAAAATTTGGGGCGGATCAGATCCAATTCCTGAGAAGAAAACAGGTAAAAGGCAGTGATATTTAAGCGCCAAATGATTTTAAAATTCTTTTGGGGATTGCCACTGCCGCCAAATTTACCCGTTTTCATGACGAAACATCAGGACCGTCAGATTTTTCAGGGTTTGGTGAGCGGTTCTGATTAAAGATTGAGATCAAGCCCCATACGTACTGATAGTATTGTTTTGGGCTCG